AGACCGGTTCGGGCGAACCCCTAGCTGCGATGATCAGATGGCTCCGAACCAGTTCGATCCGATGGTCATGTGATCCTTCCCGCCCGCCCCTGCTCTGTAGTCACCTATGTCTTCTCAGCTGATTCACGTGGCGGAGCGGATTGCTCCACCTTAGCTGTGTTACTTCCCTGAAGTAACATGGAAGGGAAGTAATTGCGATAGCTGTGCGTGCGTGCGTGCACGAAGGGTGCAATTAGCAAACTGGTTGTTACACCAGGAGAATCTCACCCCTTCTCAGGGTTTATCATCAATTGTCTTGGATCGGGCTGCACTGTCCCAGATGGACCTGTTGTATAACCTGGAGGTTCTTCTGGACTCACAAGTTCTGCTCATAGTCTGGTCATTTCCTGTTTTCTATTGCAATATGTTCTACCTGTTAAAAGTATCCAGAAGCTGTGCAGAATGTAGTGCCACAGGTGTTTTGACCTTAGGGTCGTGCATGTAATATCTCTGCTATGTGAGCTGCATGGGATGCCGGTTTGCTTCCAGGTCCAGTTAAGGGTGATTATTAATACCTCGAAAGCCCTTTATGGCATGGTTATCTAAGCAGCCATCTTGACCAGTGGTGGGATTCAATTTTTTTTTACTACCAGTTCTGTAGGCGTGGCTTGGTGGGCGTGGCATTGCTTGGTGGGCATGGCAGGGGAAGGTTACTGCAAAATCCCATTCCCTCCCCACTAACCTGCTTTCCAGCTCCGTTCTTCTGTGCAGGGCAACAAAAGAAGACCCAGCCGTTCAGAGGCAGACTCGAGAGGCAGAGAATAAATGGAGGCAGAGAATAAATGGAGCGCCAGTCAGAGGTGGTATTTGCTGGTTCTTCGGACTCCTCAAAATTTCCGCTACCGGTTCTCCAGAACTGGTCAGAACCTGCTGAAGACCACCTCTGATCTTGTCCCAATTACATTGACCTGTTCCACATGGTCAGGCAGGGAGGATATGATATGAACCCTATCAGTTAAGTCATTTTGAGTGGCGGGCTGTAGGAAAAGAGCTTCTCTATTGTTGCTCCTGCCCTATGGAACATCTTACCCCTAGAAGTGAGGGTGACCCCTACTCTTCTAGCCTTTCAGAAGAGCATTAATATTTGGCCAGGAAGTTGAATTGATCTGCTGTGGGCTCATATTCATGCCTTCATGAAAGTGCATCTGTAACTGACTTATAAGGGTATATCCTCATGAAATCACATTGTCTCATCCTCAGCCTACCACATAATTAACTTGTTGATTCTTTAATGTTCTTGTTTTTAAGTAGTTCTTTTTTTAATGCTGGCACAAGTCTTGCCATATGAACGATCTAAAATATCTCACTGATGTTGTGGTTGGCACATGATCAAGGTCAAGAATCTGAGTAGTTTATGATTTTAGACTGCTGCAGGCTTACCTCCTCCCTTGTGGCCACTCAGTGTTATCCTTTGTGGCCATTTGACTTGGGCTGCTGGAGAGACGATGACAAGATGATGGAGTGAGATGGAACACCTGCATTCTACAAAGGAATATCCTGACAGAATACCGGATGGCATTGTCTGAAACCTTGGTTAATTATTATGGGGATACATTATAAATACAGATGAGCATTCATTGTGTTGGAAGTTATAACCCACCCCTCTCCTAGAAAAATGAAATATTTTAGGATATACTGAAAAGGCAGAATATTTCCCCTAAAAGAGATGTAGAAACTCAGAAAGGCAGTAACTCACACACACACACCCACACACCCACACACACCTTTGCCAATGGGCTATTAAGGTCTGGGCCAGTCTATTCTACATAACAAATATCTACCTTCTTCAGGTAGACCCATAATAGGAATTGCCCAAAGCCCTTTCATTACATCATCATCCAGCAAGGCTCAACCAAGCCTGGGACTCAGGACAGCCTACAGAGTTGCCCCTGCATGGCCCCATGGGAGTCTGACAACCAATCAGAATGCAAGCTCAAATTCAAATCCCAACAGAGGGTATAAAACCAAGCGACTCTCAGCATTTATACCCTTTTCTCCCAGGATCTCCAAGGCATGTGGTCCTGTCCACCATTAAACCATCTTTCCAAGCAGTCTCCATGTTTCCAGTGTCTTTCTTCCCACTTGGAACTGAATCCAGATGGACATTTCTTCCAACAATTGAAAGAAAAAATGTTTAGATGTGTTTGTATGTAGATGTCATTGGTAGCAGCCCTATCTTTTCCTTTAGGCGGGTTGGGAAGGGCTCCAGATCAAGTCCATCTTTGTTTATTAGCCTACTAAAAGCTTGTGGGTTATTTCTGTCTTCTCCCCTCTTCATCCAGCAAAAGAGCAGTGCCTCCCCCCCCCCCCCAAAGAAATTTCCCACAGAAAAGTTAAACTGATTGATGTTGTATCTAAACATGAATAACAATAATACTTTCCTCCACTCCGAATGCCAGTTAATTAAAATTCAACATGTGAACAACTTCAGAAGTATTTGGATCAAAAAATACAGGGACCTTTAAAACTTGAAAAAAATAATTGTAATCTTCTCCACCTAGGTCCAAGACATTTCCTTGACATCTGTTCAGGTAGAGGCTTTTAAATGCAGCCATTTGAGATTAGCCACACTGGCACAGTGGTTAGAGTGAAGTACTGCAGGCTACTTCTGCTGACTGCCAGCTGACTGCAATTTAGCAGATCGAATCTCTCAAGGTTGACTAAGCCTTCCATCCTTCCAAGAAGGGTAAAATGAGGACCCAAAATTGTTGTGGAAAATATGCTGACTCTTTAAACCACTTAGAGAGGGTTGTAAAAAGCACTATGAAACAGAAGATAAGTCTAAATGCTATTGCTATTATGGGTTGATTTCTATAGTTAATTCAGCACCAAGAAAACTTTCATTAATGGGAGGGAAAGTGTGTGTGTGTGTGTGTGTGTGTGTGTGTTCAAAGGAAGCCAGACTATCAATTGCAATTGGGATTCCTTTTTAAAATGGGAGATATATATATATTCCAGTGTAAAACCAAAGTGTATTATGAAGATGTCACAAGTTATATTATCCCAGTGATTGACAGATGTTTCACCAGCTGGATAGTAAGTGGGAGGAAGAGGTGAGGCCATTCTCCAATCTCTTCCTTTAACTTGTCCTTCATCATTTAGGTAAAGACACCTCATTCCCAAAGCAGAATAAAAGTGGGGATCAGGAGATTGCAACTTGGAGCCACAGACGGTATTTTTTGCTAACTCAAGGACGAAAAGAAATGGGTATTTGCCCTGAAAATGGGAAGGGAAATTGTTTCATTGATTCTCCTTCTGTTTATTGGTTGGTGGTAATTGCTTTTTAAATTTCAGCCAAAAACCTAAAAAAAAAAAAAATCCAGTCTGACCTTTTTCAATTTCTTCATGCACAATTCCAACAATGAGGAAATGAACAAATTAATAATAAAAATCAGAGTTAATTCTGCCATTCAGTTTGTTCCTTCAAGAGGTAACTAAGAAAGTTATCACTTCCCCATCAAGGTAACTTTAAGAAGTGTTTCAATCAGAGAGATCTGAGGTTGTCACACAGTGACTGTCACAGAACCCTATCCTGGGAATATCCCGCCCCCCACATTCCATCCCTCCCCATCATACAGTGTAAAATAGGAAGGCTGGCTTTGCCTGGCCAGAGAAGGATACAGTCTCATTTTTTCAGGAAGCAAGGCATAAAAACAAGAACAAGGAAGCAGCAAGACTGTAGTATTGTCTTTTGGGGAAAAGAGAGACTTGTAGGATCTTTTTCCTCCCTCTCCCCCCCCCCCACCAGCAAAAAATGTCTGAGGCTGTTGCAAATCATTCTTACCTTATCTCTTCCTAGGGCAAGCGGGAAAAGAGTATTTGTGTGTGTGAAAGAGAGACACAGAAAGACAGAGAAAAGGAGAGAGGAGGAGGGAGAGAGGGAGAAGGAGGGAGGGAGGGAGAGAGGGAGAGAAGGATGGAAGGAAGGAGAGGGAGGGAGGGCAGGAGAGATAGGGAGAGAGAAGAATGGAGAGAGGGAGATGGAGAGAGGGAGAGAGAGGGAGAGATCCCTGAAAATCGTTCTACTTTTCCTATTCAGTTTTTCAAGCATTCCTTTCCCCATAAATTTAGGAGCTTTGATATTAATCCCCTTATTCCCACCGCCCCCTCCCAAATCAATTTAAATCCCTACTTTCTTTGGTTCTGGGTTCATATCTTTTTCTGAAGATGAAATATTTTCAACAGAGACCAAATAAAGAATTTTCGGAAAGAGCCACCTAGCTCATCTTAAAGGAAGTTGTGTGTGTCTTCCCTTCCCTGTTTTTCTTGCTTTTTTGCCATTATTTTAGAGGTTTCTTGAGTCCTAGTCTAATTTTCCTCTTGATTCCTTCATATATATTTTTAGGAGAAAAATTTGCATTTTCCAGTTTGATTACTTTTCCCTTTTCAAGCTCTTTGAGAAAAATAATAATAATAACCTAAATCCTTCAGGAAGCAGACAAATATCCTATGTCACCTTCTAATCAGGATTTTTTTTTTTAAAAAAAAAAAAAAGCAGGGAAAAGATATATTTACCCATTCTTGAGGAGGAAGAACAGAGACACCAGGCACTATTAGAAATGATCAGGAAGTATTGCAGCTGGAGGCTGTGAAATGGTTATAGAAGTGAATTTGTATGAATTCAGCACTTCCTGGTTTTACTTGTGCCACAAACCTGTGCATTCCTTCACCTTCTTCTTTGCTATTTGCTGGCTAGCTGGATGTGAAGTTCGCTAGCACAGCCGACATAATTATTGGACGGAACGTCTTTGAAGTAGCAGTGAATCCAGCCCCTGATGGGAAAACATGTAATACAGGAGCCCTTAGATGAGAAGATGAATACAGCTTGCTTTTACCACAAAATGATTTAAGGATCGAGGTTCTGTGCTTCAGATGCAGCTGCTTCTTTCCTTGGCTAAGCATCGGGGAAGAGAAGGGGGATATTAATGCCTTTTTAATGTTTAAAGAACATGCGTGGACAATTCTTTTACCCTCCTTCCCCCTCACACACACACATAGCCAGACAGACATATCTCTAAATAGCACTCTTGGCAGCCAGTGAAAAAGTGTTTTGCTCAGCTCTGCTTTTTTGAAATGCCAGGAAAGGAGAGAAAAGAGAGAAGAGAGGAGAGAGGGGGAGAGGGAGAGAAAGAGAGAGACGCATTATTGACACTTTAGAACTATCTCGCTGCCGCCACCAAGCTGGGTGGACCCCAAGCTGACTTGAGCAAAAACTAACCAAGTGGTTCATCCAAATCTATGCAAAGGAAGCTTCGCATCAGCTGCCCCGCCGCTGACTCGGGTATAAGCAGCTCTCCGTACCGTCAGATATGTGTGGGAGCTTCCTCGCTTCCCCGCTAGAAGGGTCGGCAGAATCGGCGACAAAGCTACTGGGGCTCTAGGGGAAGAGGAGTCGTGGGGACGGAGCAGGACGCGATGGAGATGCAGAGGATGTTTGATGGGTTGGGTTGGTTTCCGCATTGGGAATGTGGATCCTAGTGGGGGGAAGAGATTGTGCATTCCTCCGCTCGGCGCACAGGGGTCCCCCCCCCCCCCCCCCCCGCCTTTGCAGCGCGATTCGCTTCACACGGAATCTCGCTCCCTCTCTGCAACCTCGCACCCTTTTTCTGGCTGCAGTTCCACTGCCACACACCCTGGCCGCCAGCTACTGCCCCAGAGCGTCTCCCGACGTCTCTCTCCTCCACCCCCCCCACCCCCGCCACCCATTCCTCCCAAGGCTTCCTTCTGAGGATCCCCTCGGATCGATTCCCGGCAGGCAGTCAAGCGGGGCAGGCGATTCAACCGTGCCGCGAATCCTTTCTGAACTCTCCGGCTTGGCGAATGGGAAGGGCAAGAGAGTGGATGCTTTCGCTCTGGATGGCCACCGGGTCCGGGATGCCGCCCGAAACCGCGCTTTCGTGCACCCAAATGCTAGGAACTGAAGGGTAGAAACGTTACAAAATAAAAAATAAAGCAGAGAACAAGCCAGCCAGACACGGCAGGAAGACGCCAAACGCAGCGTGAGAGCCATTCTCTCCTGCAAAAGCGGAAGGGAAGCAAGACGTGGGAAAACGGTGCGCGGTGTAATTACCTCCGATCGCTAGTCGCCTGACTCCTGACACTAATTCGAGTCAAGCCCCACCGGGATTCCGCAGGCGCACTCCTTTGCTTTTTTTTTTTCCCCTTTCCCCCCTTTCCTGGCGAATGAGCTCGGTTCCACGCGCGACGCCTGCCGGACTGGTCGAAGGAGCAAGGCAGGTTCAACTTTGAAGGGAGGAAAAAAAAAAAAAAAAAAGGGAAGGAGCGTCGGAGAGATGGTCGATCCCGGCTCCCATTTCTCCTTCCAAACTTGCCCTGAATTGATGGCTTTCTTTTCCGCTCCTCTCTAATTCGCTCGCTCTCCGCTCGCCTGGATTCTCCCCCTCTCTCCCCTTCTCCCCGCCCCTCCCCCCAACATTTCCAACATTCCCTCAGCAGATGGATTTTTGCCACTGCGGCTCAGCAGAGGGTGTCAGATCTTTCGGAGTGCGCCAGGCTTGAAAGGAGCACAACCTCCTTAACAACTCCTGCCTTCGAAGCGTGAAGGAGTGAGCGAGTGAGTAAATAACCAAACGAAAGGGGACGAAAAGGCGGAGAGCAGCAATGACGGAAAGACAGTAGAGAGAGAAAGAGAGAGAGAGAGAGAGAGAGAGAGAGGCGAGAAGCGGCGGGGAGGGGGAAAGAGAGAAAGAGAGAGAGAGAGAGAGAGAGAGCGAACGCAAAGGGAGGAAAAGCGGCGGACAGAAGCAAAACCGCAGCGATCTGCAGAATTTTTGCAGCGCCATTGGTTCGGCAGCCCGCCGGGAGGCTGGGGCGTGATTTCAGCACCAAGGAGAACTGGACAGCACCCAAAGGGCTTCTTCCGGCCACCCGGCGTTGACCACAGCGGCGGCAGCACCGAAGGCCGGCTTTGCGCGCGCCAGAGAGCGAGAAAGAGAGAGAGAGAGAGAGAGAGAGAGAGAGGCAAGGTCAGTCCGAAGCCAAGCCATGCGCCCGGCAAGCGATCTTCTCCCACCTCCGTCCCTCCAGCCCTGCCACCCTCCTGCAGATGCAGCGGCCTCTCCCGCCGATTCCTAGCGAGATCGTCCCTTAAGCCGAGACAGACGGAGATCGGCTTTGCTTTTTTGGGGGTGGGTGGGGGAGAGGAGGAAGGAGGGGGAAGCCACCGAAGGGGAGTTGATGAAGCGGGAGGGGGATCCAACTTTTCTCCTTCTTCTTCTTTTTTCTTCTTCCTGCTTCTCCCCGTGTGTATCTGGAGACTTTGTGGATATGATCGCTGACTGGAGTCCGGGCTGTTGCAGTGTTTGCGGGGGGACAGAGAGCTAAAAGAGAGAGTGTGTGTGAGAGAGAGAGAGACAGAGGAAGCCCGAGCCTCTCAACCTCTCCCCCCTTACTGCATTCCTCTTGAGCCAAGACAACTGTGGGGTTTTGTTTTGTTTTTTAATTTTCTATTTTTCCTTTTTGATTCCCCCCACCAAACCTCTCCTCCCCCCTCATTTTTGACGATGGTTCGGACATTCCGTGCTTGGAAAGGAACTTGACTGTGCTCCAGCTTGAGAAGAAGTTTCCCCTCCCCCACCTTTTTTTTTTTTTTTTTGCCTTGTAGTTTTCCTCTGTGTGTTTCAGCCTCGGGAATGACTCGCTGGGTGTAAAAATGCTGCTTTGGATTCTCTTGCTGGAGACGTCTCTTTGTTTGGCTGCCGGGAATGTAACGGGGGACGTTTGCAAAGAGAAGATCTGCTCGTGCCCCGAGATCGAAGGCGACTTGCACGTCGACTGCGAGAAGAAGGGCTTCACCAGCCTGCAACGTTTCTCGGCCCCCACTTCCCAGTTCTACCATTTGTTCCTGCACGGCAATTCCCTCACGCGCCTTTTCCCCAATGAGTTCGCCAACTTTTACAATGCAGTCAGCTTGCACATGGAAAACAACGGCTTGCACGAAATTGTGCCGGGAGCTTTCCTGGGACTGCAGTTGGTGAAGAGGTTGCACATCAACAACAACAAGCTGAAATCTTTTCGCAAGCAGACTTTCTTGGGGCTGGACGATCTGGAATATCTCCAGGCTGATTTTAATTTATTGAGGGATATTGACCAAGGAGCCTTCCGGGACTTAAACAAGCTGGAGGTGCTGATTTTAAATGACAATCTGATCAGCATCTTACCTGCCAACGTGTTCCAGTATGTGCCGATTACCCATTTGGATCTACGAGGTAACCGCCTGAAAACCTTGCCTTATGAGGATGTTTTGGAACAGATCCCAGGCATTGCTGAGATCCTGCTGGAGGACAACCCTTGGGACTGTACCTGTGATCTATTCTCCTTGAAAGAATGGCTGGAGAACATCCCCAAGAATGCTTTGATCGGCCGGGTGATCTGTGAAGCTCCCACACGTTTGCAAGGGAAGGATTTAAACGAGACAACTGAACAGGAGTTGTGCAGGAAAACTCGGGTAGATTCCAGCCTGGCAGCTCCCCCTGCAGAAGAGGAGACTTGTGACCCTGGCCCCATTCCCACTCCTTTTAAGATCCATGGCAAGGAAGATTCTGCCACGGCAGGTTCTGCCCCTCATGGTGGTACCAAGATCCCAGTCAATTGGCAAATCAAATCCAGACCAACAGTGGCCAGCTCAATCCATACCATGAAAGGCAAGTCTTCCAGTAACACCCCCTGCCCTGCCACCTGCACTTGCCACCAGATTCCTGGAGGGTTCAAGGTAAACTGCAATGACGGCAACATCAGCAGCCTGGTGGACCTGAAGCCTAAGCCATCCAATGTCCATGAACTCTTCCTGAGGGGCAACAAGATTCACACCATTCGCAAGTCCCATTTTGTGGATTATCAGAAACTCAACCTATTGGACTTGGGCAACAACAACATTGCCACTATGGACAACAATACTTTCAAAAACCTGCTGGAGCTGGTGTGGCTCTACATGGACAATAATTATTTAGACATACTGTCTCGAGAGAAGTTCAATGGTTTGCAAAACCTAGAGTACCTAAATATGGAATTTAACGTCATCCAACTCATCCAGCCAGGGACCTTTAATGCCATGCCTAAGCTGAGAGTACTAATTTTGAATAACAACCTTCTGAGGTCCCTCCCAGTTGATGTTTTTGCTGGAGTCTCTCTGTCTAAGCTCAGCATCCACAACAATTACTTCCTTTATCTGCCGGTGGCAGGAGTGCTGGATCAGCTCACCTCCATTACCCAAATAGATCTGCATGACAACCCATGGGACTGCAAATGTCCAATTGTCCCTTTCAAACAGTGGGTCGAGATGCTGAGGCCAAAGGTGATGATGAGTGACTTAAGGTGTGAGACTCCAGAAGAGTTCTTTAAGGAGGACTTTGAATCTCTCTCCAATGAGGCCATTTGCCCTCAACTCAAAGTCATGCCCACTTTGACTTCCACCCATAAGAATAGCACCGGCCTGGCAGAGACTGGGACTCACTCTAATTCCTACTTGGAGACTAGTAGGGTCTCCATCTCAGTGCTGGTGCCTGGCCTTTTGTTGGTGTTTGTCACCTCTGCCTTCACCGTGGTTGGCATGCTTGTCTTCATCCTGAGAAACCGGAAGCGCTCCAAAAGGAGGGATGCCAACTCTTCTGCCTCGGAGATCAACTCTTTACAGACAGTGTGTGACTCCTCTTACTGGCACAATGGACCTTACAGTACAGACGGAGCCCATAGAGTGTATGACTGCGGCTCTCACTCCCTATCAGACTGAGACGACAAGATTTAAAGTTTAAAAAAAATAAAAAATAAAACATGTAACATCGTGTATGGGCAATCAGTTCAACTTCAGCAGCTAGCAACCTCAACTTCCCTTCGATGGTTCAGAGCTTTCTTTTCCCGATCTGTGCATCGCCCTGTCTTGTCCGCTGATGTGAATTGGACCACAGGAAGGGAATGGGGCGTAGCCCACTTAAAGCTACCTTCTGGTGAAAAACACCTACTTGCTCACCAAACCTGGGCCAGCACGTTGAGTGGAGGCCTGCCTTTTTATTATTATTATTATTTTCATTTTTTCTTAATTATTATGATTTGCCTAGCCTCAACCTGAGGTTGTGTAAAACTCTACACTGTATAACCAGTGGGAAAGAAATAAAAGATCCAATCGAAAGGCCCAAGATTAGCTTCCTATTGCAGCAAGATAAAGGGTGTGAATACACTCTCCTGCAGGTGGATTCCTAACCGATTGTGGATTTATTGGCCCTTTATGTGTGATGGGGAAGCAGAAGCTCTTGCTTGTGCCATTCCTCCCCCATTGTGAATAAGGCAGGAGAGTCCAGTTGCACGAAGGCATGAATGTAATTGTAAATAAATAACTCTGATCTAGAACAAACCAATCCAAGTTGCTGCATGGTTCGCATGGATACAAAACCACCCAGGGATGCTTCGGCCCCAAAAAGGAAGCAGCGTCCAGTTCACCTCGTCCCTCCCTCTTCCCTGATAAGTTCCATCATATCAAAACTTTCTATATACAGATACGGTATAATAAGAATAAAAAAAAAAGGTGCCATTTCGCCATTATTTTTGTGTGATTGCTAGGCGGTAGAGATCATCTATTTACTGTGAAAAGAAAAAGAAAAACAAAAAGCAAGGAAAAATGTAAAGGTTTTATTTAAGACATGTTTGCATGGTTTAAACTCTCCT